GGATTGAACCCATGCCCCCTGCAGTGGAAGCATGGATTCTTAGCCACTGGACTGCCAGGGAAGTCCTCTACTTTTTCTTCCCAAATCATTTTCAGTGAGTATTTTGTAAAAAGAGATTATCAAAATCAGAAAATTAACATTGATATACTATTATCTAACCTACAGACCTTACCAGATTTAGTTGTCCCAATTAATGTCCTTTACAGAAAAAAAGATCTTGGATCATGTGTATATACATTTGTTATGTCTCTTTTAATCTGGAACAGTTTGTCTCTCTTAAATTTTATGATATTGGCTTTTTTTTTTTTTTTTTGCGGTGCGCGGGCCTCTCATTGCTGTGGCCTCTCCCGTTGCGGAGCACAGGCTCCGGACGCGCAGGCTCAGCGGCCATGGCTCATGGGCCCAGCCGCTCCGCGGCATGTGGGATCCTCCCAGACCGGGGCACGAACCCGTGTCCCCTGCATCGGCAGGCGGACTCTCAACCACTGGGCCACCAGGGAAGCCCAGATATTGGCATTTTTTAAGAGTACAGGTCTGGTATTTTATAGAATATCCCTCAATTTGGGTTTTTCTGTTTCCTGGTGGTTAGATTCAGGTTATGCATCTTCAGAAATATTATAGAAGTAATATTGTGTTCTTCTCAGTGCCTTGAATTCTTTTGTATATATACCCAGAAGTGGGATTGCTGGATCATGTGGTGGTTCTATTTTTAATTTTGTGAAGAACCTCCATACTGTTTTACATAGTGGCTGAACAAATTTACATTCTCACCGACAGTGCTGGTACTTCGTTTAGGATTTTTACATCTATTGTCAGCAGAGTTGTTGGCCTGTAGTTTTGTTTTCTTGTAGTGTCTTTCTCTGACTTCGGTTTCAGGATAATGTTAGCCTCATAAAATAAGTTTGGAAGTATTCCCTCCTCCTTAGTTTTTTTTGAAGAGTTTGAGAAGGTTTGTTATTTATTCTTCTTTAATCATTTGGTAGAATTCACCAGTGAGGCCACTTGGTCCTGGGCTGTTGTTTACTGATGGTCCTGGGATGTGGTTGATTACTGATCCAATCTACTTTCTAGCTGTAAGTCTGTTCAGATTTGCTGTTTCTTTATGGTTCAGTCTTGGTAGGTTGTATATTCGTAGAAGTTTATCCATTTCTTCTAGATTATCCAATTTCCTAGTATATATTATTCATAAGAGTCTCTCATAATCCTTTTTATTTCTCTGGAATTGGTTGTAATGTCTCCTCTTTCATTTCTGACTTTATTTGTATGTTATCTTTCTTTTTCTTAGTTAATCTAGCTAAGTCTGTCAATTTTGTTGCTCATTTCAAAAAACCAACGTAGTTTGGTTATTTTTTCTTTTTTTAAAATAAATTTATTTATTAATTATTTATTTTTGGCTGCGTTGGACCTTCATTGCTGTGCGCGGGCTTTCTCTAGTTGTGGCGAGTGGGGGCTACTCTTCATTGCGGTGCCCAGGCTTCTCATTGCAGTGGCTTCTCTTGTTGCAGAGCACAGGCTCTAGGCATGCAGGCTTCAGTAGTTGTGGTGCGTGGGCTCAGTAGTTGTGGCTCGCGGGCTCTAGAGCGCAGGCTCAGTAGTTATGGTGCACGGTCTTAGTTGCTCCATGGCATGTGGGATCTTCCCGGACCAGGGCTCGAACCCGTGTCCCCTGCATTGGCAGGCAGATTCTTAACCACTGCGCCACCAGGGAAGCCCATGTTTCACTGATTTTTTTGTAATGATGTGCTTTGATTCGTTTCTCGTTTTCTTTAATGTATCTTCTATGAGTATTTTCTTTGTAGTTATCCTAGGGCTTACATAAAACATCTTGTAGTTGTAACAATCTATTTTAAGCTGACAGCAACTTAGCATCAATTGAATACATATACTCTACACTTTTACTTCTTCCTCCTCCACACTTATTATTGATGTCACAAATTACACATTTTTTATATTGCGTATTCATTGACATATTTTTTTTTTTTTTTTTTTGCGGTACATGGACCTCTCACTGCTGTGGCCTCTCGCGTCACGGAGCACAGGCTCCAGACGCGCAGGCTCAGCGGCCATGGCTCACGGACCCAGCCGCTCCGCGGCATGTGGGATCTTCCTGGACCGGGGCATGAACCCGTGTCCCCTGCATCGGCAGGCGGACTCTCAACCACTGCGCCACCAGGGAAGCCCTGACATATTTTTATAGTTATATTTTTTACACTTTTGTCTTTTAATTTCTACACCAAAATTAAAAGTGATTTATGCACCACTGTTAAAGTATTACAGTATTTATTTGCCTATATATTTACTTTTACCAGTGAGCTTTATATTTTCACATACTTTCATGTTGTGTTTAGTGTCTTGTTGTTTTAACTTGAAGAACTCCTTCTAGCATTTCTTATAAGGCAGGTTTAGTGGTGATGAACTCCCTCAGCTATTGTTTATGTAGGAATGTCTTTATTTTTTTCTCATGTTTAAAGGACAATTTTGCTGAATATTGTATTTTTGGTTGGTAGGTTTTTTTCTTTAATCACTTTGAATATATCATCTCACTCCTTTCTGGCCTGTAAGATTTCTCATTAGAAATACACTGTTAGTCTTATGTGAGTTCCATTGTACATGACAAGTCACTTTTCTCTTGCTGTTTTCGAAATTCTCAGTCTTTGACTTCTGACAATTTGATTGTAGTGAGTTTCAGTGTGATTCCTTGGGTTCATCCTCTTTGGAGTTCTTTAGGCTTCTTGAATCTGAAAGTCCATTTCCTTCCCCAAATTTGGGGAATTTTTGGCCATTATTTCTTTAAACATTCTGCCCCTTTTCCTCTCTCTTCTCTCATAAGTCTCTTAGAATTTCTTCACTCTCATTCTTTTTTCCTTTTGTTCTTCTGATTGGGGTATTTCAAATGACCTGTCTTCAAGTTTGATGTTTTTTTCTTCTGCTTAAGTCTGATATTGAATTCCTCTCATGAACTTTTCAGTTATTATATTCTTCAGTTCCAAAATGTGCAGTTATTTTTAAAATTTTCTGTCTCTGTAGGTTTTCTAATTTTGTTCATGCCTCATTTTCTTGAGCCTGTAGAGCATCTTTATGATGGATATTTTGAATTGTTTGTCAGATAATTCATATACCTCTATTTCATTAGGATAATTTTCTGAAGATCTCTTTTTTTTTTTTTTCTGACTGAGCCAGATTTCCCTGTTTCTTCATGTTTCATAATTTTGTGTTGGGATCTGCACGTATGGAAAAACAGCCACCTTTCCAAATCTTTATGGCCTTGCTTCATACAGGAGAAGACCCTCACACATGAGCCCAGCTAAAGATCCGGGGGGCCTCTGAAACCTTTTCTGGTGGGATGTGACTTCTCTGGGCTTGTGTGTGCAATCAATTAGAGAAGCTTGATGGTTTTTTAGGAGCTCATAATCTTTTGCTCCCTCTGGTGCCTGTTTGTGGCACTGCAAGTTCTCTGGTGCTACAGCAGCAGGGTGCCTTCGCTCTCTCTCAGGCCTCCAGGGTATGCTGGCTCCCCATGAGGTGAGACAGATACTATTCCTTTGAGCAGCTCTGTGAAAAGCTAGTACACCAGAAGCAAGTTTTCCTCTTCTCCTTCCCTCCCATGCCAAATTGCACTGCCTGCAGGATGCCACCCCTCACTTTTCTTTGGTCTTTGCAGCATTCAGGCATCCGTGCTATGCCAGTTCTGTCAGTGCTCCAGATGAGTCATGTCAGAAACCCGTCCTTCAGGCAGCCTTCCAAAGAGCTAGAATGCTGGAGGCACACTCCACTCCTGTGATTCCTCTCTCAAGGAAAAGTCAGGAGTTGGGCTGTTCTTGCCTGGCGCCAAACTGTGGTAGCTTGGAAGAGGGGTTGACGTGGGGCCAGTGAAATTGCTCTTCTTATCCATTTCAGTACAGCTGTTTTCATCTTTGTGCTCCTTTGGGACTTTCTAACTGGATTCTGGAAATCTCATAAAGGTATTTTGGTCTGTATATCGTTTTGAAAGTGGTGTTTCTGTGGTAGAATGAGTCCTGGGACGTACAATTCTGCTGTTATTTGCTGACATCGTTCTCCTCCTCCCCGTACTTCTTTATGCTGCTGGTTTAGAAGTGAAATGACTTAAGAAACGCACCCACATGTTTACTATGAACCTGTATGTTTGCCACTTTACAAAGAAAAACATTTTGAGGCCACGTTGAGTATAAATAATCTCATCTTCCCTTGATAAATCTACATTCTGCTCCTTGCTAATTTTTCTTTTCCTGTCCTTGCAAAGTCTGGCTTTCTGGAATGCAGGGAAAGATGACCCTGGTAATAGGGATGTAGATTGACCTTTATATCGTAAGTTTCCCATTTCTAGAGTACGTGATGATGTATTATTTGAGACTAAAACACAAAAGGAAATGCTTAAACTTTCTATGTATGAAGTTCTGCAACCAAAATATGTCCATAACTATATTATCCTGTTTTTAAAAAGATGATAATGTTTGTTTTTAAATTCTTGATAAACAGTAATCTAATCATTGCATAGACTCTCATACTGAAGGTTTAGATGATGGCAGTAATGGTCACATTCACTATAATGGCAAATATGACACATTTTCTACACGTCTAGAGCCAGAATATAGAATAGAAATGTGCTGTCATAGTTATAAATAGTTAACGTAGACTCTGCAGTCAGAATGCCTGAGTTCATGTCCTAGTTCCACCACTCAGCTAGGTGATCAGCATCAGTTTATTTAACCTTATTTTTTTGTGTGTGCCTCAGTTTCCTCATGTATAAACTGGGTATGATACTAATAGCACCTACATCATGGGTTGTTATGTGAATTGAATGAGATGATTTATAGATAGATAGACACAAAGTTTTTAGAACAGTGCCTGGAATTTAGGAAGTCCTGCCTGAATCATCGTTAGCTATTCTTAAGAGTAATTGTGATGAGATGGCTCTTTTTAAGCATTAGATATCATGTTAAGTAAAAAAGATTAAATGACCTTTTCTACCTCATTGACAGAGTTGAAACTGTGGGACAGCCAGACAGAAGAGACAGTATAGGAGTGTGTGCAGAAAAACAGAACGGATATGACTCCCTGCAGCGGGATCAAGCAGTTTGCATTAGTACAAATGGTAAGAGGGAAATTACTGCCGTTCTCTTTGGAATCTATGATTCACTGTAGTAAGATATGAATCAGTTTCAATATCACACATTTATAGCAGAAGATGAAAAAGTTTAGGTCTTAATGGCATATCTATGTGGCTGCTATGTACCAGGTGTTATTCTATACCCTTTAAAAATAACACATTATTTAATCCTTTTAACAGCTTTTTGAAGTGAGGAATAGTATTATATCCATTTTGTAGTTGATAAAAACAGCCACAGAGAGGTGAAGTAGCTGGCTTAAACTCACATAGCTTGGAGGTGATTGAGCTGGGATTTTCACCAGGCGGTTTACCCCTGGATTCGGTGTGCCTGGGTGATCTGAATTCAACATAGATTAGACAACATAAATTCGGCATAGATTAGGGAAACGGGGAGAGAGTTTACATCTGTAGTGTTCTTTGGTCCCTTACTTTGCAGTAATCACACTTTTAAAAATCACTACCAAGATGTATGAATATTTTACTGTGTGGGTCAAACAGTAGGTAGCACAAGATTCTTGTTTATTCCATGTGAAACAGTCTTGTTCCACAGGATGTAATTTTATAAAGGAGTCAAGTTTCTTTTGATGCCATCCATATGGGAAACTCATGGTCTGTATTTCAAAAGAGTGGAACCCTGCACCAGAACTCTAAAATGTTATTAAAGCTTTAACTTCTTCTTCTGCCTTGGGGATGGGGGTTAATTAACATACTTAACTGCATTTATCTTTGACCAGTTGGCATTCCAAAATGTTTTCTTTATCTGAATTAGGAAATTAGCTGTATCACCAATAAGCTAGAATCTTGTTTCCGTTCTTAGTTATTGCTCACATATGAATGACTCTTTACCTTAACATTTTAGGTGCAGTTTTTGTAAATGGAAAAGAAATGACTAATCAGTTGCCCGCAGTTACTTCTGGGTCCACTGTCACATTTGACATTGAAGCTGTGACTCTAGGATCCAGCAATAATAACGAAGGCGGAAACATCAAGCTTCGAGTAACTATTAGCTCAAATAACAGAGAAGTGGTGTTTGATTGGTTGCTCGATCAGTCTTGTGGTTCTCTTTACTTTGGATGCTCGTTTTTCTACCCTGGGTGGAAAGTGCTGGTATTTTAGATTTTCAGATGATTGGCTTTGGGTTTGCAGGGGTTTCACATAGCTTTCCTCAGCCCAGTTCAGTTGTCATTGGTTTAAAAAATGGTTAGATTCATCTCTCAGTTAAGTCATTGGAAACAGAAATTATTTACTGGATTTATTTTCCAATATCTTAGCAATAAGAGGCGTGAATATTGTGGACAAAACAGTAATGCAGTCCATTTTATTTTTAGCATAGTGTTAATTGGAATATCACATCACAATAAAAATCAAATTGGCTTTTAAAAGTATGAGGCGATATAGACAGCCCTATGTACCTTTCCACTGTACTTCTTTTTAAAGTTGGCTGTAAGAACACAGAAATGTAACGTAACTTTTTTTTTTTTTTATTAAATCTTTATCTTTTAAAGATCCAAGGCCATCCAAGACTTTAGAATGAATAGGCAAGAAGAGACCAGGTAGAATGTGCCACCATGTACGCTGTAATATACACTCTCTTGTGTGTTCTCCACAGGAGTGTTGAATATGCTCTTCATATTCAGGGATTTGTAAGCAGTATTGAATTTTATCTCATGTTCAGTAATCTTTAAGTCCCAAAAGCATGATAATTTTTGTATTTTAAAAAATTACTGGGCTTCCCTGGTGGCGCAGTGGTTGAGAGTCTGCCTGCTGATGCAGGGGACACGGGTTCGTGCCCCGGTCCGGGAAGATCCCACATGCCGCGGAGCGGCTGGGCCCGTGAGCCATGGCCGCTGAGCTTGCGCGTCCGGAGCCTGTGCTCCGCGACGGGAGAGGCCAAAGCAGTGAGAGGCCCGCGTACCGCAAAAAAAAAAAAAAAAAAAATTACTGAGCAAATGTCTACAACAGGCAAGGTGTTTTCTTTTGTTCTTTCCTTGCAGTTCAATTCACGATAGGCTAGAGGGTTTTTACAGGGTAAAACTACTTATGGAAGTAGTATGCACAGCAGTGTTAGCCATGTCCCATGTTTGAAATATGCACAGGTGCATATCCAGCCTCAGTGACGTGCAGTATTATTGTTCTTCCTAGGGTCTGAGCTGCAGTCCGGTTTCATGTCAGTTTCATAAATGGTCTTTTAGTGGACCAAACAAATGTAGGGTAAATACTTGACCTATTTTTTGGAAAACTTAAATTTGTTTAAAATATTTATTTGAAGGACTTAGGATGTAAAAATGATTATCTTGCTATATAACAGCTTAAGTTCTTTTTTCTTTAATGTGAATTTTTTTTTTCATTTTTAACAGAAAAGTGGAAAAGCAAGTTTGATATTTTTGTGAGATAATTTATTTGGGGATTCCAGTTCCCTATTAGACAATCATGACCTTTTCCCCTTGCCTTTTTATATTATAAGTTAGCTGTTTTTCACTTGCTTAGTGACTGTTAAGAAGATGTGCTAGAATGTAGATGCCTCGTCCAACTGTCTGAAACAAAATAAAAAACTAAAAGGTATATGTGTGTATTTTTTTCTTTCATGAGATTTAATTAATTCAGGTTTACTTTTTTAAGTAGAGGGAGAAAAGTCATCTTCACTTTTAAGTGGGAGGATCCATATATATATATAAAATGAATAAGTTATATATACATATATAACATATATATTGGCAAGACTGTACTCCCTCCAAAGGGTCTAGGGGAGAATCCTTGTCTCTGGAAGCTTCTAGTGGCCGCAGGCATTCCTTGACTTGTTGCTGCATAACTCCAGTCTCTGTCTTCCCATGGCCTTTGGGCTTTGTTTTTAGCTGGGCTGCGGCAGTCCTAACTAACCCCCGGACCACCAGGGTATTCCCTCCTTTGGTCTCTTAAAAGGACATTTCTCTTGGATTTAGGACCCAGTCAGATAATCCAGGATGATCTCAAGATCCTCAATTTATATCTTCAAAGAAGATATATATTTATATCTTCAAAGACCCTTTTTCCAAATAAAATCACTATCACAGGTTCTGGTGTGGACATGTCTTTTTGTGGGCCACCACCATTCAACCCTGACGATGGTGTTTGGCTGGAGTGGAGTGGTGGGTTGGCTGTAAGTTTCTGTCTTGCTAGGCTGCCACTTTCCTGGTCCTTTGGCTACAGAGAGCAGGCTTTTGTTGGGGTTTTGTCTGTGTCTGTTGGTATTTCCATGTTGCTGGCTTCTTCAGCCCCAAGTCTGAGACACGTAAGACAAGAGAACCCTAGGAACGCACAGTACTGAGTTCCTTGAGTTTTGAGGTTCCTCGGCCATCTGTCAGAATCTTCTTATGTTTGTTTTATATTTTTTCCAGGGTTTTTGGTTGTACTTAGCAGGAGGAATAGGGAAATTATGCTATTCCATCTTCTCAGAAGCATAAATTCTGAAGCTATATAATAGATTTTAATATCAAAACAAAAACAGAAGTAGAGATGAAAGGTAAATACATCTCTTACGAGGGGTTTTCCTGCAGAGGGAGCAGAGTAAGCATCTAGCTCCTGTGTTAAATATGAAGGATTTAGTTCAAGAAGTGAGATTTATTCAATTATTGAGAACAAACTATTGTGACAACTGTGATTGACGGTCGCACACTCATTTAGGTATCTCCTAAACTGGTTCAGAACTTTCCATACATATGTAAATCAACCAGTGTCAGAATGGATAGTTTGCTCAGCTCAGATCTACTGCTGCATTACTTGTTTCCTGTGTCCCATGTCTTCCTCCTTCTTGGATTATTCCTTTATTTTAGTGGAGCACTTCCTCCATTTCCTGAGAAAGGGTGCCCAAGAGGTGAATATTTTGAAAGGTAGAGGTCTGAAAATCTCTTTATCCTACATTTGACTGTGACTCATTAAGAATTCTAGGTTGGAGATCATTTCCCCTCAGAATTTGAATGCATTGCTCTGTTGTCACCTAGGATACAACCAAAAGTTGATGCTGTTCTGGTGCCCATTTGTTTGTAGGTTGTATGTTTTTTCTCTTTGGAAGACTGTGGTATCTTTTTATTCGGTCTTCCTAGGTTGGTATAACACTCAGCTACATAGCTCATTTAACTGCTGACACCCTATGGGTAGATGAGTTTCTGACACTTACTTTAAACCCACTAGATTATAAATTCCTTGTGCTTTTGTATCTTCTGTAGCAATTATTTCTCAATCCTGCTTGCACGTTAGAATTTCCTGGAGAGCTTTTAAAAACAGCAAAAATTCTGATTTAATTGGTACTAGTGGCGCTCACTTTTTGTTTTTTAAAGAAATGAAATTATTCTGTTATGAAGGCAGATTTGGGAGTAACTGCTCCAAAGTAACCAAAAGTCCAGTCTCCGTAGTAATTTATTTTGTAAATCTAAATTTTCTTTGAAAGACTATCTTTTATTCTGAAATTATCCTTCTTGCTCTTTTTGTACTGTGTCCTTCTATAACGTGACAGTAGGTGTCAGGTTTGCTTGTTTTGTTCATAAATCTTATCTGACAAAAAGTCAAAAAATTTTTGAATGTATATTACTGGTCTCTGAAATCCAAAAGTCTGGGATCTACTTACTACTCTACATTTCCTGATATATGGGAAATACGATATATTTCCCATATATATGATAAATACTTTTGAACTAAGACCAGTACTTTACTTTTTAAAAAACAAAAACCATATTCAGCAAAATAAAACTAATCTCTCACAAAAGCCTCTCTCTCATGGAATTTCACGTTGATTAAATGAAAAGTGACCTTTCTATGTCACTTCTATTCATTAGTCTTACATAAGGCAATGTTAGAAACCTTGCAGTTTTGTAGAGAATTAGACTTTGTTAATGTAATCTCAGGAGGCTTCTCCATGTTCTTAAAACAGCTTGTGGAAGAGGGAGCAAGCATATGGTTTTTCTTTAGCGGTGAGAGCTGAGGATTGAAGCTGGCAAAACCGTGTGGCCATCGGGAAAGGAAACAGTCATGCTAACCAAGAGCAGGTTACTGTGCTAGATCCCTTGTTGAAGGCGGCATTTTAATCCCATTTTACAGTTGAAGAAACAAACTCAGTGTCGGTAAGTAACTATGAGTTTTGAAGCTGCAAAGGCACCGAAGTTGGCATTCAAATCCAAGACTATCGACTATCAGTTCTTCTACCATGATGCCCTCTGTCCACACTACCCGATGTCTCAGGGCACCAACTGGAGATTAGACACTTGGAAATATGGCTTACTAAAACATGAGTGAATGTCTCCCTCTCTGGAATTTAAGATTCATGAGGACAGGAACAATGTCTGGCTTACTCCTTTTTATCCTCATGCTTAGCTTAAGGCAAAGGCCATAGTAGGCGCCCAGGAAGTATTTAACGAATAAGTAGGGCTCCTTAACGCTAATTACCCACATGGCAACCTTGGTCCTTTCCCTACAGGGGTGCACAGAACAACCGGCCCCCCACATGAGAAATAGGGATAGACAGGATCCATTCAGAAGAAAATCTTAGTTGAATTAGTGAAGAAGCTAAGATTTATTGGACCCCTGTTACGTTCTAGGTACTTGTATTAGGTGATTCATAAATTTGTCTCAAAATATAAAAAGGTTTTATTCTGATATCTGTATAACTTCACCCCTTCTCTGGAGTAATGAGCAATAAATCTAGCAAAGAGGTATATGATTGTTTAGGGACAGGAGGAGAAAGAAGTTGACTGTAGTTTTGATCCATGGGGACTGGGAGAATCCTTGAAACAGGATCTGAGTCTTATTCAACTTCTCATTCCCAGTGCTTGGGACAAGTGCTGGCACACATTCACAGATGATTGACAGAACGGCTGCTAGTGGTAGCATGCTACAAGAGCAGGTGGAAGCTATTTGGGTTCTGAAAAAGAATGGGGTAGCATGGACAGAAATATGATTCCAGGAGATGGTGCACTTGCAGGTAGCCCCTGGTTGAAGCTTTGCCATGTGGATAGGATGGTAGTCAGAAATGGGAAAAGAGAACAGATGAAATATAGTAGTCCAGGAGATAGCCACCCTGTTCTCTAGAACCAACTTTATAACGTGATTCATCCATGTGACACTTCAGTAGCAATCTTGTTTGCCTAAGAATGTACTTGAGTGAATTTTTACCTCTGTATAAAAATCAACCTTACACTTGTACAAGTAGTACATAGGAATAGAATATGCTCCAGAAACTGGATTGTAGACTATGTACAGAGAACACCAGAATGCATGGTGTGTACCATGCTGTACTCTG